CAAGAAATTTGCTTGGGCACTCCCTATGCCCTGCCTCTGAGAAGTTTTGCGCACTGGGCATTTCTGGCATGGCAGAGGGAGTCTCTATGGTTTTTAGGGGCCTACAGAAAAGTGAGTCCTGAAGTCTGCATTATTAGCCCCACAGCACAAAAAAGCAAACCACAACATTGAAATCAGTAAATATTTAATTAAATGCAAAGTGTAGCATTATGTCAACTTCATTAACTGTTGAATCTAGTATTCATAAAAATTTCATTACATTTGATAATGATTTGTAGGTTGGAGTTTTTCTCACTGTGCAAGATTCCCCTGGTAGGCACCAAGATTGGTGAGAAATCATAGCCTATCATAAATTAAATAAATTACTCATGGCCAAAAACTTTCGAAAGCAAAATGGCAAAAATTACACAATTTTTTTTTTTATTGCTGAAAAGTTATATTGCCAGAAATTGGTGTGATTAACAAAATAAGTTAGGTGAGGAACAGGGCCTGTAGAATAAATAGTTGGGGCCTATGAAGATTATTAAAGAGCTTATGCCATGCCCATTTTTCTGGGTTTGGCAACATGACCATGTCTGTGCTGCAGGTAGAAGACAAAGGTATAAAGGCTTTGACTGGAGAACAGGTAGGGAACTTTATGTCCCCCTGAACTTTTCCTGGCTCCAGATGGGAAAGCGAGAATCCCAGAATCCTATAGCATGATAGCTACCGTTCACTGGAGAGGTAGGATGTGCCAGCCTAAGTTCTAAATTCCTTACATCTATTATCTCCATTGTCACAAAACAACCCTACAAAGTAAGTATTTTATTATCTCTTTTGTATCAGAGCTAACCAATGGCAAAGAGGTTAAACAATCATCCCAGGGTAACATGACGAGTGAGGGGAAATTAAAGAATGTTTCCAAGTTTAAAATAATTTATATAGGTGAATTTAGTGTCTGTGACCATTAAATGCCTTACTTTGGGACTCAGCCTCTCTTCTACTCTATCTTGTTTAACCTTCAGCATCTGCAGCAGTGCTGGAACATACATATCTGTGCTAGAGGAATACATACCTATTTGAATGAAGACTCGATAAGCTCAGTTTATACCACATGTGCCCCAACGGCCTATAAACTGAGCTTATGGTAGTTACAGTAAACTAATACACCAAACTGCAGGGTAACTTGGCTCAGTCTACATTACTAGAAAACAGCATTTAATGAACTTTACATCTGAGTCTAGGTAGTCTAATTCTAGAGTCCATGTGCTGTCTGGTATGACAGTCACTAGGTATATATAGTTATGAAGCATTTAAATGTGGCTAGTACAAGGGAGGAGCTGAGCTTTTTACTAATTTACATTAAAATACAATTATGGGCTGGGTGCACCACCCCCTGTTGTGGCCAGCATGCATGTGGCCTGGGCTTCAAGGGTGACAGCCGTGGTGAGGCAGCCTTCCCTCCCCGCAAAGGGCCCCTGAGGGCTGAAGAGACCCTGGCTGGCCCCCTCCCCTCCATGGCATCTTTGGGCCTTATGCCCTGGTCTCTTCAGCCTCTACTTGCCCTTCTGGTCACCTTTCCATCCTGCGCCCTGACACCCACCTGGTGGGAAGAGGCTGTAAGAATACAACAAACTAGGCAGTCTCATCAGATATTGGTGATCTGCTGGTAACTTGGTCTTCAAGAAGACCAAGCCTCCAGAATTTTTGTTTCAGTTTTACCTGAGAGCTCTGTCACTACTGAGCAAAACTGAAGCCACTGAGAAGCCCAGGCTCTGACATCAAACATGACATGAGCAGTTGTCCTCCATGGCAGACCCTTCTGCCATACCATCTCTTCATTTGAGCCTGACAACCATGGGTGGAAACCTCCAAAACTGTGAGCCAGAATAAAGCTCTCCTTTAAGCTGTTGGAGTCAGAGAGTAAAAAATAAATAAATAAATAAATAAATAAATAAATAAATAAATAAATGCAAAAGATTGAAGAGAATTTCGGGAAATGGAAAGATATTCCTTGCTCATGGATAGGAAGAACCAACATGGCCATACTCCCAAAACTATTACAAGATTTAATGCAATCTCAATCAAAATGCCATTAGTATACCTCACAGATCTAGAAGAAACATTCCTAAAATTCATCTGGAACCAGAAGAGACCTAGAATAGCAAAAGTAATCCTGGGCAACAAAAGGAAGGCATCACAATCCCTGACTTGAAATGATACTACAAAGCTACTGTGATAAAATCAGCATGGTACTGGCAAAAATACAGACCTGAGGATCAGTGCAACAGATCAGAAGATGCAGACACAACTACAGACATACTCAGCCACCTTAGTTTTGACAAAGGGGACACACATGTTCACTGGAAGAAAGATAGCCTTTTTAATAAATGATGCTGGGAAAACTGGCTTTCTACGTGCTTAAGCCTAAAACTACACCTGTGTCTATCATCATGCATTAAACTAAAATCAAAATGGATCAAAGATCTAAATATTAAAACAGAAACACTAAATCTACTGGAAGAAGTAGGTAAAAATCTTGAAGACATAGGGGTAGGCAGACAGTTGATGAACAAAAACCAAACTGCACAGAAAATACTTCAAAGAATCAACAACTGGGATCTCATTTTATCAAAAAGTTTTTGCACATCAAAAGAAATCACCAACAGAGTAAAAAGAAAACCCACAGAATGGGAAAAAATTTTAGCCAACTGTCCTTCAGACAAAGGACTTCTATCTAGACCATATAAAGAATTTTTAAAAATCAGGTCCCCCATATTCAAAGACCCAATGCAAAAATGGGCATCTGAGATGAACACATACTTTTCAGATGAAGAAATACAAATGGAAAATAAATATATGACAAAATGTTCAACATCACTGGGCATTCGAGAAATGCAAATTAAAACAACACTGAGATTCCATCTCACTCTGGAAAGAATGGCTATCATCGAGAAATCAACCAATGACAAATGCTGGAGGGGCTGTGGGGAAAAAGGAACCCTTCTCCACTGTTGGTGGGAGTGTAGACTGGTACAACCACTGTGGAACTTAGTGTGGAAATTCCTCAGGAAACTAAGATTAGACTTCCCATTCAACCCAGCTAGCTATTCCCTTTCTGGATATTTTTCCAAAAGAACTAAAAGCATCATATTTTCTATAGGCATTTTTAATTCAAATGGTTGTCTCCCTAACTAAACTATAGGCTCCACAATGGAGGGGCTGTAGCTGTTTCTTCTTTCTGTTTGTGCCCAGAGCCCAACACAGTGTGGGGCTCTCAGAAGCATGACTCAATAAATATTTGTGAAATAAATGAAGCAGTGGTATAAAAAAATACAATCAAAATAACCCCATATGGCTGTAGTGGCAACCATATCTGATGTAGCTTTACATAGTTTCTAAGTACAAGGCATTTTGCAGAATCTGCTAGGCGCCTCATTTCTCTGTGTGCCTAAAAAATTGTTCCCTACCCCTACTTTATTTTATTCTATTTTATTTTTTCAACCTTTTCCAACTTTGCCCCCACTACCCGGTTTCCAGCGACGGCAGATGGGTGTGGGGGTGAGCTGGCTGATTTCCAGAACCCTGTGGCCTGGGCAGTCAGGGTCCTTGGTGCTGTGCTCTAAGCATGGGTGTTAGCCAACCAAATGCCAAGCAGCACAAACACTGAGTGACATTTTCAGAACTATTAATATTTCATCAGAAATGATCACTTTCCCTTTAAATACACTTTCTTAAAAGGTTTTCTACATTCTTGACTATAATTTTATTCAGTCTAGGTCCTCAGAATTTTCCCCAAAGGAGCACATCTTCAATTTTATAATGAAAATCAAAGGGAAATGAAGCTCGGATTTCAAACTCAGAGTCAACATTTCCAGGAACTCAGCCCCTCTGTAAAGAACAAAGTTGTATACTGGGCACCTACTATGCATCTGAACTTTACACATTACATACCTTTAGTTCACAACATCTGAACTTTACACATCACATACCTTTAGTTCACAACATATATTTATTGTGTGCCTACTATGTGCCAAAAAGGCAAACCGCAAAAAAATTTAAAAGCGTTTTTTAGAAAAGGAGTTCCTTCCATCCTCCCATTTCATCTCAAACATTGACTCTTCAAAGATCCATGCCCAGACCACCACTAATGTTGCCTCCTTCCCACCCTATCACCTCACTTTATTTTCACAAGAACTTGATTTCATCTGTAATCACTGCCTTTTCACTTGCTTTGTAGGCTGATGAACTGTCTCCTTCCATCAGAATATGGGCTCCAGGAGAGCAGAACCTGCCACCGTAGCTCTTCTCCTGCACCCAGGAACACCTGGTACAGAGGAAAGGCTCCATGGATATTGGGGGAAGGAAGGGGGAAGGTAGTGAGGGTCACACAGCTAGGAGTGACAGTATCAGGGTCAAGGCAGCCCCACCTTGCTCTTCTTTCCTTCTCTGCTTCTTCTGGTCTTTCCCAGGGAACCCTGGCAGGAACATCCACAGACAGCACCACACAGAGGGATTGTGCCACCTCTCAGCTGAAGAAAGCTGCTTCTCTGGGAGACAGTCTCTTGCTTGGCAAAAAGCGAACTGAAGCCTCTTGTCACACCTTCCTGTCCCCCAACCCAGGACCTCCTGAAGCCCAGTGTGTGAGTCTAGTGGCTAAGGGCACAGCATCAGGCCTAACTTCTTGGTGCTTGCATCCCAGCTCCCACTTCTCAGCACGCCTTGGACAGTCTTTCATAACTTTTGAGACAGTTTCCTCCTGTCATGTAAGTGGCACTTCAATGAGCTTGATTGGGATTGAGTATGAACCCAGGGTTTGGCACAGAGTGGCCACTGGGGTTCAGATGGGACTGATCAAGGGGCAACCTCCACCCCGCACCCCTTGAGGTTTGCTGGCTCGCTCACTGGCCGCCTGATTACCTGGGACTTCTGACCCGGAAAGCGCCCTGGGCTCCCACCGGCCCACCCCACCCCCACCTGCGGGCCTTGGGCTCGGACCCCCTGCGCCCCGCGCACAGAACCGTTGCGTTTGAAACCCACAGAAAGAACTCAGCGCTAGACGGCAAGGGGCTGGGAGTTACTTGGCACGGAAGTTGGTTAAAGCCCTCTGGAGCGCCTGGCCCACACTGCCGGGACAGAGCGTTTTTAAGGACTGGGTTCCATCGCGCTGCGGATCGCACACCAGCGCAGGGCAGTGGCGGGCGTCTATTGGGTGTCCGCGGCCGCCGGGTTGGCTGCGGCCCCATAGGCTCATTGGAGATTGCTTTCCTGGACACCGAGCAGCGGTGGGAGGGGCAGACAGAAGCGGCTAGAGGAGAGATCGAAAGCAGGGACTCTGGGGGTGAGCGGGGGCAGTTGGCCCTCGGCGCACGCGCGCTCCCTGGCAAGGACCAGGCAGAACCTTACGGGGGATTCCTACCCCAGCTGAACAGAGAGCCCTGTGCGGGATCAATACCCGGCCGTCTGTGTCTCAGTGGCTTGGGTGAAAATGGGCTGAACACCAGGCCCCAAAAGGGGGAATGCCAAGGACTGTGGGGAGAACCAGTCCTTCCCTCCAGCCTCCCAGATGTCATTCTGCCTATCCAGGCACCTGAGTCTTGAGCTCCAGGGGATTCTATGGTTACTAAGCTACTGGGTTTTGTTGACTTTTTAAAATTTTCCTCTAAGGAGGTGGGGGCAAGAGGCAGGGAAGAGCAAATAAAAACAAATCAAAACAAGCCCTCCCTCCCCAAAATAACGCTGTCCTCCCACCCCCTATCCCCACACAAAGCTAAGGCCTCTGAAGGAGCAACAGCCAGACAGAACTGACCTCCCCAGGGCAGGTCCTCAGCACCCTTTCTGGTGAATGCGAAGCGGCGGTGCGTGGCCTCTTTGTCCTCAAGTGCTGGGTGGACGAAGGGGCTTCCAGAAAGAAAGAAGGATGGCCAGTGGGAATGGGCTCCCTTCATCCTCGGCCCTTGTGGCCAAGCGTCCCTCTGCCCTGGGCCCGTTCCCCAGATTCGTCTGGATCCATCAGGACACCCCCCAAGACAGCCTAGACAAGACTTGCCATGAAATCTGGAAAAAAGTTCAAGACCTGCCTGAGGCCCTGCAGCCCAGGACCTCCATGGAACAGCTCTCTGCCCCCACAGCTGGGACTCCAAGAGACTATGGTCTCAGCTTCCAAGAAGAGTGAGTACCCCTGTATTTGATTGGCAGCAAAGGAGGAGGGAGATGAAGCCTGACCTTCTGGGGGGAAATGATCTGACTCAGCATTCAGTCTGGTTAAATCCTCCAGGCTGTATTCTTTTCCTCCTCCCCCGTAGGCCCAAGTCCAGTCTTTACAGAAGGTCAAGGTCCTGAAGTTTCCTAGGGGAAGGGCACACCAAGGTTGTATTCTAGGCTGCCCCTTCACCAGCACTAAGGCGACATTTCTCATTCTAAAGACATAGGCAACTCAGATGTGGGTAAGGGTCTTGAAAAAGCACCCTTGCCAAGGCTAGAGGTTAGATATCGGAGATAGCTCCTGACTGTGCCTAGAGACAACTGGGAGGGCCTTCCTCTCTCCCACGCAAAGGCTAGGCATTCACACAGATGAGTCTGGCGGTTTTAAACCACATCTGGAATTCCCTAATACAGGGAGCAGCTGTCCCATTCAGCCTCCACAGAAGCTACTGCAAGAGCGCACATCAAAATATTTACTGAGAAGGCATTGACATATTCAGAGGACATAATAGAAAATTAAAGTGCGGGAAGATGGCTGTAAATAGCCTGTTCCCTGGTTGGGAAATCCTGTATCAGGGAAACACAGAGCTAAGTGTTTCTCCACCAGGGCAAAGTTGAGCAGATAATCTTGGGGATAGATATTTGCATGGAATGAACAGAGAGGGAAGGGGGACCTCATTAGGAAAAGAAAATAAATCAGCTGCTGCTATTAATGCCACTGTCGAGCACTTCTTCAATGCTTTGCGTCTTCAAAGTGGGCTACAAACATTAATTAATCCTTGTAGAGTCTCTGTGAAGCAGGTATTAGTGTCCCCATTTTACAGATGTATTAAGTGTTAATAATTAAGTGCTAATTAAAGACTAAGTGATAATTAAGTGTTGTCTGCTCCAACACATGCTCCAGCTCAGTTCAGAGCTGCTCTGGAGTGGGGGAACCATCTACGCATTTATCAGCTGCCTCTAGTTTCAGGAATAGCAAGAGCTCGGAGCAAAAGCAAAGGGTAGCTGATGCCCAGGTCTGCACTACCTGCTGTCCTGTGTGGGCTTATTTGCTTGTTGCAGTTGAAAGTGGAGCAGTCACTTTGGCTGTTTTTGCCTCCCCTGCCCTGTGCTCAGCATGACATGGCTCAAATGGGAATAGTTTGTCTACAACCAAAATCTTGCCGTCAGACCTTTTGGCAGCACTGAGCTCTTCTTTCCTTCCCATTGCCATTCGCTCTGGGACAGGGCCTTGGGGAGGAGGTGAGGGTTGGCACTGTGCTCAGCTCTCAATAGTCAAAGAGCTGATTGTCCACTTTATGGACCAAGGGTCCGTAGCAATTTCCAGTAGATGGCACCCTCTTTGCCAGGTCACACTGAATTAATGGACACAGACTCTACTTCCAGTCTGTACTTGGCTGAATATTGAACAGGCATACCTTTGGCCAGTTATTTAACTCCATTTGGCCTTGATTTCCTCATCTGCAAATTGAGGATGATATGCCCTGCCTTGTCTACTTCAGAGTTGATAATGAGGATCAAATGTGTTGGAAGACAAGGAAATGAAAGATGCATTATACAAATGAGGCTGCCCTTTTGTGATTCACGGAGTTCCAGGGTGGAGGTGGGGGTTGTTATCTTTGGCTTTGATCTAGACTCTTCACATTCTGCCCCACGGACCCCAGAGCGCTTTAGCAACCACCCTGGGGTCAAGAGGGCTGGTTGCTGGGCCCCAGTTTCCATTTCAGCCAGAGCTGTTCAGTTTTCGCCAGTTTGACTTACTGGAGTTCTGAGTTAGGTTGTATTCTAAAGGAATTCTGCTGCTGAGGAAAAAGCTGGGAAACCACTGACTTAGATGAATAAACGATATCATAATCGTGTAGGTATCAACCAAGCGAAATGCAGTGAGCTTGTCTTGAAATAAAAGGCAGCTGTGCTGGTGGAGTCAAGTAACTGGTTTCAGATCACATTTCAGCCATGTTCCAGCTAAATTAACTGGGCTTGATTTGGTCTCCTCATCTGCCATGTGGTGATGGTTACTGTACATTTCATAGGGCTGCTGGGGTGGCTAAATAAGACAGGTAAACCATTCTGGTAATAACTGGAATTCATGAAAATTCCTTGTAATAACGATGGTAATCACTTTCTTAAACCCTGCAATTATTACATGAGGTAGGTAGTATTTTAAACTCCCATTTTTTTTTTAACTTTTTACTATGCAGATTTTTCAGACATAGAATAGTATAGTAAATGGCCATGTGTTTAATGCTGAGTTTCACTAATTATTAGACTGTCATTTGGGCTTCAGTTATGCCCTTATCCATTTAAAAAATGAAACTCTTAGCTGGGCATGGTAGCACACACTTATAATTCAAGCATTCTATAAGGCAGAGGCAGGAGGATCCCAGTCTGATTCCCTGTCTCAAAGAAAAAAAAATTAAAGGGCTAAAGATATAGCTCAGTGCAAAAGCCCTAGGTTTAATCTCTAGTATTGGAAAAAACAGAAAGAAGAAAGAAAGAAAGAGAGAAAGAAGGAAAGAAAGAAGAGAAAGGAAGGAAGGAAAAAAGGAAGAAAGAAAGAAGAAAGATGGATATTTATTAGAAATGAGACAACTAGCTGGGTGTGGTGGCGCACGCCTGTAATCCCAGCACTCGGGAGGCTGAGGCAGGAGAATCATTGTGAGTTCATGACCATCCTGGGCTACAAAGTGAGCTCAAGGCCAGCCTGAACTGCATAGCCAAACCCTGTCTCAAAAAGACAAAAAAAGAAAGAAAGAAAGAAAGGAAGAAAGAAAGAAAGAAAGAAGGAAAGAAAGAAAGAAAGAAAGAAAGAAAGAAAGAAAGAAAGAAAGAAAGAAAGAAATGAGACAACTGAGATTTGGAGGGATTAATTTCTTTGCCTGAGGCTCTACACTTATACACTTAGGGAATGGTAGAGTTTCAGAGATGAAACCCAGAACCATCTTAGATTATGGTATATTAATGCTGGCTGTCTTTCTCTGGAATATAAATCATGTTTCCTTAGTCAAGATATTTGAGAGTCCATGTTTTGAACGATCACACATAGATTTCAAATCTAGGGACATGTCAGTGTTATGTGTGGGACGTAACATCTTTGTGGCATGTGGTTTCTGGAACTAAAGACAATAATGCAGACATGATCCAATCTCTGCAGACTGGACCCTCCTTGCCTACACTCTGTATACGTTTTAATGGCAATTCATACCACATTCATTTTCTCTCCACACTGATTTTGCTCAATGGACACATTTTTAGTTCATTCAACAAATACTTCTTAATCACCTACCGCACGCCTGGCACTGTGCTAAGAGATAGAAAGACAGACCTGTGAACAAGATAAGGCACAAGAAAACAAGTAAATAGTAATAACAATAACAATAATGGTAATAAAACCACAATAACTTCAGAATATGAAAAGGACTGGTATTTTCCTTGGATAAGACTGAAGATAAGCACATAAAAATAAATGAGATAGTTTTAGATAGGGTGAGTACAGTGATGGAAATAAAACAGAGGAAAGTAGTGGCAAGAGCCTGTTTAGATGGAGTGTCGGATCCTTTGAGCTGAGTCCTGGATGCCAAGTGAGGGTCTATGATAACATGTGGGAAGTGGGAGCCTGTGATAACATGCACATCCTTCTGACGTGTGTCCAGGCAGAAGGAATAGCAAGGGCACAGACCCCTGAGATCTGCGTGAGCTTTGAGAGGGACAGCACCTCTGGCGTACAGTGAGGGGTGTGTATATGGAGTAAGGAGTGTAAGAGTCAGGCTGGCATGGTCTTAGAGGCTTGGGGTATCACTGAAATGGGTTCAGTTTTATTCCACATGTCCTAGGACACCTGTAGAGATTTTCAGGAAGGCAGCACAACACAGTGGGATAACTATGATGCTTGTACAAAGAAGTACCCAGCTTCTGTGCAGAGAGAGGTGTGTGAGAGAAGAAGTCAAGAGATTTCTGGAAAGATGCTGCAGTATACAGGTGAGGCCTGAGGGCAGTGGTGGCTGGACCAGAGTGAGTGCAGCTCAGATGGAAAAAGTGGGAGAGTCAGTGTGCCATTTGAGAAGCGCCGTCAGGCCTGCTGATGGCTTGGGGCACATGAAAAGAGAGGTCAGTGCTGAACCCAGGTTTTGGCTTGAGCCCCTGGTTGGACAATGCTGCCCTTAGTAAAGGTGGGAAAGAAATGGGTTTGGGTGAGAAATCAATAGTTCTTCCTAGTGTCAATTAAGCTCCAGAATCTTGTTCAGCTATCTTTAATTACTCTTAAATTTGGGCTTAGAGAATTGTGGCGAGCTGCTTAGTGACTCATCTTCAAGGATTACTTATTCATTTATTTCAAATATTTCCCAGACTCAGTGGGGGCCATGACTTTTCTGCTGACTCCGTTTCCCCAACTCTGGAAGAGCCCTTGTTAATTTCCTCATTTTTGGATTCCTTCAACTAACACTTACAGTTGTCTTCTGGGCACCAGGCCTCATGTTGGGTCCTGGGGGTACAGGGTCAGAAACTCTCCCCTCAAAGAAAACCTCCCCCGTCTTCTAGTGGATGGGATGGGCACAGATTCATCTGGCAACAGCGAGATCCAGCAAATATTTATTGTACACCTACCATTTGCAGGATAATTTTTTAAAAAAATACAGTGATGATCATGAAGGTTTCCTACTTAAAGGTTTTACCTGAGCTGGATCTGGAGAAACCAGCAAAAACCCAGCAGGTGCAGGGAGGACAAGCGCCTTAAGGGTAGAGTGTAGCACATGTGAGGACAGGGTAGGAAGGTGGCCCAGAGCTGGCTGGGTGAGGCCAGATTCCCCGGTTGCTTCCAGAGCCCTTGGTGAGTGCCTGGGACCTTCCCATCAGCGCAAGTCAAACAGACCTTGGTTTGCAGATTCAAAAGGCTCTGGTGAGCATCATTCCCAGACAACTCTTAACAGGAAGGTAAACCCACAGAAATAAAAGCACTGTGTTGAAAG